GACGCCAGCCTCAACTGCGGGCCCGACAGATCGGCCGGCGGACAGGAGAAAGAGCCCGAACAGAGTAACACGCAAGTGGCGCGAGAGGCTCTCGGTGCCAGTGAGAAGGAGCAACAGCCAACCTCCCACGGCACAAACGAACCGATACAGATGTCCGATCAAATGCAGGTCGACTCCCATCCCCCTCCGACGACCGCCCCCGACACCTTTGGGTCGACGGATAATACCACCACGTTGATGAACACATCCACCGTCGCCAGTCCCGGTCCCATCGAAGACTCCGCGTCCCAGGATGGTGATCGTCCGCGTCATCGCGACGAGGCAGAGCTGTCCCAGGACGCCAGCAACAAAGCCTTCTCCTACCCCATGCCCAATCCAGGTATCAGCGACCCGCGTCGCGGCCTGAGTCTGCCTTCTTCCGGGTTTAATAAGGCCGGGCAACGGTCCCCATCCGCGAAGAAACATCGCTGTCCGTACTGCTCCACCGAGTTCACGCGACATCACAACCTCAAAAGCCATCTCCTCACTCATAGCCAAGAGAAGCCTTATGTCTGTCAAACGTGCCAGTCTCGCTTCCGCAGACTCCACGATCTCAAACGACATACAAAACTGCATACGGGCGAGCGTCCACATATCTGCCCCAAGTGCGGCCGTCGCTTCGCTCGCGGCGATGCTCTGGCTCGCCACAACAAGGGCCAAGGCGGTTGTGCTGGACGCAGGGCCAGTATGGGGAGTTACGCTCCGGAGGATGAGTACGGCGAGGCGGGAGCCCATGCCGGTGCGGACGATGCCATGGATGGGCTCATGTATGCGGAACCGGAGCGCATGGATGAAGAGGATGAGCGGCGGCTCAACATGCCGAGTATCAAGAAACACGACATGTCAACCGACTCTATTTCCCGCTCAGACACGGTGACGAACTACCAGCCGCGGCAACCGAGCACATACCCCCCGATTGCCGCTGGTCGACCTTCGCCGGGAGGGCTCTATCCTCCTCCGACCAGCCATGGTGGCTCGAGTGCTTCGGCTTCGCCCATCTCGCAACCGGGCAACCTGACCTTCCCCCCTCCCGGACAACCGTCAGGAGCGTCAGTCTTCCAACCCACCAATGTCACCGATAGCCCAAAGCCCCTTTCTCCCAACGGGTTGACCTCGCATCAACTGGGACATGGACCAGAGAGTCTCCATCGCTCCCATTCTCCGGGCATGGCACAGCCCTTCCAGCAACCACCCTATGCCAGACCATCTCAGGCCCCTGTCACGAATCACACTGCGCCTAGCTTAGGTCTTCCTCCGCCCCAGCTTCCTCCGCCTCCCGGCATGGGCTCGTCGGATTCGCGCTTCGCCCTGCAACCGGGCCCCAAGCATGCACCTTCTCATAGCCACTCCAGCAATCACGGCGGGCCCCTCCCGTCCCCGGCGGGACCCGAGACATCCGCAAACAACGGCGCGCATCTGCCAATTCCCCACGACTCGAGCTATGTGGAACAAGCGCGGGAACGCGAAGAGAAACTCTGGGCTTATATCCGTTCTGTTCACGATGAGGTGAGCAGCCTCAAGACGGAAGTGGCGGCGTTGCGGTCGCAGCTTGCGACGTCGAATGCCAACGCGCTCCCAACACATCCCGCGCATACGGCGCCACCTCCAGCCGACCCTACTCCCGCCAACGCACAGCGATGAAGGCGATCCTGACTTCATTCATACGTGTTCCCTTCTGTAACGCATAACGAGAGGCGAGAAGGGTCCATGACCCAGCTCTCGGATTAATACCCCTGTGTCTGATTTACTTTCCTTTGATATGTCTCCTCTCTGTCATGATCCTTTCTACGTTTAATCCCTGGCGAGATTCCGAGTATATGTAATGAGATAGCTTCAATTGAATCCAATGAAGGCCTGCTGAAGCAGGCTTGGGTTTGTCATCTGCGGTCTCATGCAGCTTGGACTTTTCGCCTCTGCCTTCGTCCTTGTTATTTTCTTGTATTTCTGCTTCCACCGGGCGATCGGGGGATGGTGTTGGCCACGTACAGGGTCATTTGGACTTTTCTACTTTTCGACGATGTTATTCTTTCTGACCTTGGCTTTCTTTTGTTGCTGTTGATTTCTGGGAGCAGGGAGTCCTGGGACAAAATTTATCTTTGTGGAAATATCCTCTTGACATGTGTATGGACTCGGATGGTATGAGCTTGTTGATATGATACCTACGGAGTACCTAAGTATACCGACAGTAGATTCACAATACAATACACATACACCTCAATGACTTGAATATAGCAGCAGTCAAGTCACGACCTTGATTCCGCTCTCCCAGCCCTCCTCTCCGCAGTCCATCCGATAAAAAGCCCCACGTCCGCGACAATAGCCTTGGGCACTCCGCCCATCGTCCAGCTCCGCTGTACCCACTGGGGGATCGCCCCGCCCGCCTCTGACGTCGTGGCCATCGTCCACTCGACACGGCCATCGCGCCGACGCACGCGCTCGACACTGGCATACGACGCAAACACCGTCCGCCGCGACGTCGCCGCGGCGATCTTCTCGCGCAGCACGCCCGGAACAGACTCAGACCGCGCCGCGAGCGGGATCTGCACCGTGACGAAGCTGTCCTCACCCTCTCCGTCGCGGTCTGCGGTGATCGCAAGCACGAGGAACGAGCGCGGCGCGATGAGCACGGTTGGGTGGAAGGTGTGCGTGATCAGGTTGACTGTCCCCATCCCTATCAGTACATTTCACTCCGTCATGCTTGAAACAATATTAGGGTAGACTAACCCTGCATCTCAACCCCCCTCCATCCAGCGACATCCACCTCCGGCCAACCCAGCAGGGTGTCCACGGCAGACACGCTGGGCGTGTAGGCCATCTCGTTCTGGGCATGGTTGACCCTCAGGCCGGCGCGGAACTCGTCCCACGCGGCGGAGCCGGCGAACGGCGCATCGTCGTGGACGCTTGTGCGGCAGGCCCAGAAAGCATTGCTTGGACTTCTGGTTGTTGGTGTCGGGGATGGTGCGTGTGGAGAGCGTGACAGGGGCGGTGGACGGTGGGGGAGAACCGTGGTTTTGGATTCGCGGTGGAAGGGTGGTGGGGAATGTAGGGACAGGAAATG